TCTGGTAGGGAAAAATACATTCCTGCACAGAGCCAACCCTCCAGACAGGAGTTTCAGCTCCTGTTACAAGCAGATGCAGCCATACATTTTGCACTGGGATATGCTCAGGGGTCTCTGTGCTATAGCTTTACTTCAGGTGTGAGAAGCCCTCCGAGTTCAGCCCAAACTCGGAATGGGAATGTGCAACTCTTAAGCTAGGGAAATAATGAGCACAAAAGGTACCCAGCGAGGTACATTCCCCAGGATGTGCTGACATTGAACTCCCACAAAGGGACTGTGTTAGATAATGATCCTAATAGGTGGCTCTTCCAGGCAATTTGATAGATGTGCACTATCAAGCATTGTCAGAAATAGCTCCGTATACAAAGCAAGCGTTTATCATCATGGACACCTTGCAGGTGGTCACTGATTCAGTGACATTGTAAGAAAGGAATAGATACCAATTCCCTGCTTGCTGATAGAAGGGATGATAGTTTAGAACAAATTACAACTGTCTCTAGGCAATTCTTTCATGCAGGAGTTTTGGATATGAACGTGTAGGACGGCACATGCAACTCCCCCAGCTGACCTGCATAATTCCACCCAGGAGAAATCCATGTCTCCTGGGTCAGCTGAAGGTGTAAGAAGGGGAAATGTTCCTTAGCATCACTTGAAGAGGCATCGAGCAGTTCCTAAGTTCTCTCTTCTCCAAGTAAGTGAGTGGGAGAACTGCAAATTCAAAGGTGAAATGTGTATCTGGTGTTTGGTTGAACAGGCTGTGTCTCCAAATGCTGTGCTCCATTGCGGTGACTGCAGCTACGCATTAAAGGTACCCTGCACACCCAAAATGTGTGCTCAAGAGGTGGGACGGGTGGTCTTTTGGTGACCCAATGGCTTAGCAGGGAGAGTTTTGGGGGTTGCGGAACAACCTGGTCTAGTGGAAGGTGTCCCTGCCCCTGGTAGGGGGTTGGAACTGGATGAGCTTCAAGGTCCTTCCCAACCCAAACCAGTCTGGGCTTCTATTACCTTCCATGAGAGGTGCCATGAAGCAGGCTGGGTCTTATGAAGCTTTCACAGCCTCATGCCTGAAACTTTAAGCCTGTCACAAGGCCAAAATAAGCGTATCTAATTTATTCATAGATGGTAGCAGGGTTTCTTTTGCAGCTGTGCTGCAAATCAGACCTATATGTTGTCCAGCGAATGTCATTCAGAGCAAGGCAGTATGAAAAGTGATGTGGCTGGACCTCGCTGTGGAATTGCTGCTCCCCTGTCACATCAGAGCGGGGGAAAGCATAAATGTCCTCTTAAAATACAGCAGTGGGAAGCAGAGCTTACAGGGTGCAGGCTTCAGAGCAATTTCATCCTTGGCTCTGATGAGAACAGGGAAGAAATGCTCTATTCCCCTCAGAAATTAGTGCCCACACACCACAGAGCTTTACCCTGCTTCTGCCCAAAGCGTTCGTACACTGAAAAATGGGATTAGACAGAGCTGCTAATTCTAACATTGCACATCAAGACCAGAATCCTGGGCCCCCTCTCTGTCTCTCCAGGGAGAGATTTATTGCCTGCTACAATGTAATTAATCTAATTTCCCTTAATAAGGGCGAGACAGTTAATAGGAAAGTCATGTCTTCAGCTTCAGTTGCTGTCCCTAAGCCTGGCTGTGCTGCAGAGTGGGGCCAGTACAGCCCCTCACAGTGGGGCCAGGCACTGTCTGTGCCTCCAAAGGAGCCAGGAAGCATCCCCCTGGAGCCAGAAATCACAGTGGGAGAAGGGAAGGGAGTGCTTCCCTCTTCCCTTCCATGAATGGATGCCCCTGGGCTCAGGCTTCTGCCTGTGAGTCCCAGTGACGGGCATAGCCCTGGAGGTGCTCACGGAGATGCTGCAGAAGAGGGTGGAACAATCCCATGCCCTCAGTGGGGTCTGTGCTCTGCCGGTGCTGTGCAGCCCTGCAGCAACTGCCTGAGAGCAGCTTTCAAGGGGAAAAAATCAATAGTTACTGGTTATGGGTCAATCTCCCTTATAAAGTAGAAACCCTGCTGAGTTTGCACAGTTCAGGGCTACACGGAGCAGGGAAGCCAACATGTTTCCATCCACCATTTGAAATTAATCCCTTTGCAACTAGACATTTAATAGGATGTTGTCTGCCTTTGCAACCCCC